CACACACACACACACACACACACATTCCATCGATAGAATGAGCAGAAACGGAATGAATCTTCCGCTGAAACGTGGAAATATACACTGCCACTTTTTTAGCAAAATCGGAATGAATCGTTCGTGTGTGTGTGTGTGTGTGTGTGTGTGTGAGAGAGAGAGAGAGAGAGAGAGAGAGAGATCGCGGCTCGCGCCATGCTACTTCCATCGATAGGATGAGCAACATCCAATGAATCTTCGGCTAGAACATGGAAACATACACTACCTGGTCGAATCTTCGGCTAGAACATGGAAGTATACAGTACCTGGTTGAATATGGCCAACAAATCGATCCAAGTACTCTCTCTCTCTCTCTCTCTCTCTCTCTCTCTCTCTCTCTCTCCCCCGTCGGCCATTTCGCGCGGCGGGCCACTGTCGCTCCCCGCGCAGCTGACCATTTCCCGCTGCGGGCCTCCGTTGCCACACCCTGCCTCGACGTTTGCACTCCCTCTGGCCGCGCGCGCAGCTATTTTGTGCGCCGCGCCCGCCTGTGTGCCAGCACAGCGGTACCGCCCTTTGCCAGTCCCGTCCTGCGCGGGCCTCTGTTGCCACACCCCGCCTCGACGTTTGCGATCCCTCTGGCCGCGTGCGCAGCTATTTCGTGCGGCGCGCCCGCCTGTGCGCCAGCAGAGCGGTACTGCCCTTTGCCAGTCCCGCCCTGACCGATTTGGGCCTCCTCCGATTTTTGCTGGGCCCGCGACAGGGCATGTCGTCGGGCCCTATCCTTCCTTTAGTATGTATAGAGATATATACAGCTTTGTTTGACTATATATAGGTAGCCACAGCCCCTCGTTTGTTGGATTGAACCCAAGACCTCCTGAATGCCACCTGCTTGCCTTACCAACTGAGCTAAGCCACTGGATGTTTTCCCGCATTTGAAGTTTTCTCTTAAAATATATACAGCTCTGTTTGACTATATATAGTCAAACAAATATATATATATATATATAGGTAGCCACAGCCCCTCGTTTGTTGTCCTCTTCTCCGTCTCTGCCTATGGTTTACCGGGCAGCTCTGTTTGATTTTTTTTTTTTTTTTTTT